GAATACATCTGATATTACTGATTTACTGGTAGTTACGAAACTCTACTCTAATACGAAAATAAGTATAAAGGTATTTGGTTAGTTTAGGTCATATGTCAACTTCGATGCATGTGAGTGTGTCTGTCTCTGTATGTGTATGTGACTGTTTGTGTTCGCTTATGCACGAAACCAGTAGTGATGGCTCAAAGTAATTAGGACGTCAAAAAGGGGCGTCTCTTTTTGGTTATCAAGGTTTGATCACCCTATCTCGCGTTTTCTACCAACATGTTATATATATATAATCTGCCAGTGAGTTTTCTTGACTCGTTAGTTTGAATTTGGTTGTGACGATGATACCTCGCTCTGTTGATGTACGTCAAATGACGGAATCGACGAAAATTGTGTCAGCATGAATGTTGCAGTAAAGCCAATCGACAGCTGGTCAAGAGAAATACGCCGTCGTCTTCTGGTGGAACCGACCTTTGAATCTCTTCCCCTAACACTTTCACTCGAAATGGCATTAATCTCAGCAATCATGTGTATTTGTGCATGTATTTACTTTCAAATGCAATATAGTCCTAAATCAAAATGCTACTTGTAAACGAAAAATAATCCAGGCCTTTCTCATCTCTCAATGATTTGGGGATCACTTGACACAACACTTTTACTCGAAATGGAAGTAAACTCAACAATTGTGAAACAAGAGATTCCTCGAAACCCAACTTTTCTTCGCATACAAAATCATTTTTGACCTCGGACGGGTTGCATTAGCGCCTGTAGTATCGTGTCGACGTTACCACTCCACTAGGCCAAACATGCGTGAAGGGAGAATAAACTTGTGTACAGCAAATCTTTATTTGCCCGCGAGCGGTAAAGTCAGTAAAAATGTATGATGCAGGGACAATTGGTTTTCCATTCGAGTAACCATGCTACTCTGCTATGCCATTAAATTGTATAAAGAAGCGATACGAGGGTCGATCTCACCAAATTATGACGTCCGTTGTCCGTCGTACTTAAGTCGTTTGGCTTCGATACGAAGTTCAGGTTGAGACAGTTGATGAGACATCCTGCCTCGTTTGGGGTGAAAACTGGCCGAGCTTTCGTCTATCATCAGAGCTGGAAGTCATTCTTGTGAAAGTGTGAAGTTGACGCCACGCCAAGAAGACTGTCCAGCTCTATCTTACCTCTTCTATACACTCACAACTGACACTCAAGTAAGAGTAGCATGGTTGAGCTTACTTCCATTTCGAGTGAAAGTGTTGCGTGAAGAGATTCGAAAGTCGGTTCCACCAGAAGACGAAGGCGGATTCCTCTTTACCAACTGTCGATTGACTTTACTGAAAGATTCATGCAATCTCCTTCGATTCCGGTGAAAAGGTGCTAAGCTTTCGTGCGTCTTATGACGGACATCATCAGAGCGAGGTACCATCTTCACAACA